AATACGAAAACGTACACACAAAAGCACATGCATGCATGTGTACACACACAGCCTTTGAAAGACCTGATGAAGATGCTAACTGAGCACTTGTAAGCTAATCCCCTTTCCCATAATGCACCTCTCCCTTTTCAATCTCAATGAGTACTAATTTTTTTTTTTCTCTTTTACATTTTAAAAGTAGGTGCTGAGAGAGGGTCAAGTAAGATCAGCAAATTCGGGACCAGCAGTTAGCGTAATGGCTATGTGGCTGGACTCTCACGTAGTTGACCGTGGTTCGAGTCCCGGACCCGGTGGCTTAAACTCATGCCGGGCGTGTGTGTGTGCCCAAGATCCCAAGAGGAGAATGGAGGAGAAGGGATTGCAGTGTGGCCATCCCCCTGGGGGGCGATTTCTTACTTTCTGTTTCTCTGTTTCTCTCTGTCTGGTGAGCACACATGCCCTATAGCAAAAACATCTCAAAAAAAAAAAAAAAGATCAGCAAATTCTTTTCTCAAAAGTAGGGGGACCAGCAGTTAGCATAATGGCTATGTCGCTGGACTCCCATGTAGACGACCGTGGTTCGAGTCCCGGACCCGGTGGCTTAAACTCATGCCGGGCGTGTGTGTGTGCCCAAGATCCCAAGAGGAGAATGGAGGAGAAGGGATTGTGGCGTGGCCATCCCCTGGGAAGTGATTTCTCACTTTCTGTCTCTCTGTCTTTCTCCTGTCTTTCTAGCGAGCACATGTGCCCTATAGCGAAAACCTCTCAAAAAACAAAACTAGGTGTAAAGTTGGATAAAACTGACCATGAGCATACAACAATCAGAGAATCATTTTTGCTTAAAAAATAATGGAATTTCAGATAAAGATAATTGAATTCATGTTGGTCCTGAATGGGGATTAAGGGATTAACGGTAGGGATTAAGTTCTGTGCAGAGAGACAGGTCCTATATAGCCAACTGCAGTTTGAATCCTGGCCCTATGACTTGAAAAGCATGCCAGATATAAGCACGTGCCCAGAATTCTGATACTGGAGAAATGGAAGACAAAATGCTGAGTGTGGCAATCAGTTTTAGGTGTCAATTTGGCTAAACTTTAGACCCCAGTTATTGAATTAACACTAATTTTAGGTGTTTCTGTGAAGTATTTCTTAGATAAGTTGAAGCAATATCAGTCAATTAAATAAGTGATGTTATTCCAGGTAATCTATGTGTGCCTGATTCAATCCATTGCAAGCCTTCAGAGCAAACTGAGATTTCCCTGAAGAAGACAAAATTCTACTCATTCACTGAACCTTTAGCTCCAGCCTGAGAGTTCCTGCCTGTCTTTTGGATTGTTTTTCTTTTTTTAAGTGCTAAAAGAAATGTGTGCTCACCAGAGAGAAACAGAGAGACAAAGTGAGAAAGTAACTCCCAATGGGCATGATCACATCAGGATTCTCCTCCATTTCTCCATCTTGTCAGGATCTGGGACACACATGCACACATGCCCAGGTGTTTTTCAATCCACCAGGACCAGGATTTGAACAAGTTGACCATGTGGAATCCTGCTCCCTTAACCATTAGGCTGTGAGGAGGGCCGATTCTGGATTTCTGACTTGCCTAAGCATTTTCCACAATCTCTTAAGCCAATTCTTTGCAGTAAACACCTTTGTAGTTCTATTACTTGAATTGAAATATGACTGATACATAAAGGATATCAAATACAGCTATAAAAACAAAACTAAATGGAAGTGATAAAGAATGGGTGTGAAGGGAAGATATTATTTTATGTTGGGTAGTCAGGAAAGCATCACTGGTGAGATGCAGTATTTGATAACATAAGTCTAATTCTTCAATTCTCCCTTTCCCCAGCCTTTTTGCCATGGAACTTTGCAGTACTTTTCACTAAGAGGCAGGACCTAGGCCTCTGATCACTGTGTCTGTTTTGATTTGATAAATTTTCTTGGCCAATGAGATATTAACAAATGAGGCTAAAACAGAAGCTTCAGAACATCTTGTCATGATTTCACATGACTCTTGTTCCTCAGCCACAACCATAAGAATATGCTCTGGAGGATGAAAAGAGTAGTATCCTCAGTTACCCCAGCTGAGGCCATACTAGATCACCCAACAGCCAAGCTAACCCCCACACACGAGTCTGCCCATCCAGTAGCAACAAGAGTTGCCCAACTGACCCATGACTGAAGGCAGATTCATGGGTGATCTTAGACAAGATCAGCCAAGTCTTGTTCACATTACCTTGAACTCATATGAAAAACATTTGTTGCTGGTAAGCCCCTGATGTCTTATCATTGCTTGCTATGGAGCATTAGTACGACAAAAGGTAAATTGCTGTGACATTTGAATAGGCCTGAAGGAAACAAAAGATGAGACCAAACTGGAAAACAAAACAAAAACACAACATTCCAGGCAGCAGAAAAGACTAGTACAATTGCTCAAATGCAGGAGTGTATTCAACACACTTAAGGAACAGCGAATGGCTTTGTGTGGCAGGTGCACAAAAAGAGAAGAGCACCAGGAGACAAGGCAAGTTGAGGAGCAGGTAGCCCAGACATCTAAGGCCTTGTAAGCCTTGGTAAGGGCTGAGCGAAACTGGAAGTCAATGAATGGTTTTGAGCAAGTTAGTAACAGGGCTTGACTTCTATTTTTAAAACCAGTATACGGGCTGCTATGTAGAGCATGAACTGCAGGGAGAAAGATGTAAAAGTAGGGAGGCTGTTCTATCCTTTTAAATGTTCTCAGTGAAGATGAAAATTGATTGTTGGTTTGGTCAGTTTATGAAGAAGAATTGGTAAGAAGTCTTCAGATCCTGTATATAATGTTAAAGAACTGCTGGTAGGCTTTTTAGATGGCTGGGATAGAAGATATGAAAGAAAGAGAAAAGCAAAGGATGACTCCAAGGCAAAAGCAGTTTTTGTTCAAGGAGAATGTGGGAAGAGTAGTTTGGGTGTATGTAATAGGAATCAGGCACTTGCTAATTTTGAGATGACATCAGGTATGTAAATGGCTGGGAAGCAATCAGCTATATAGCTGTAAAGATGGAGATAGGAACTTGGAAGTCACTTACAAGAGGAATACAACACAAAATTAAAGCCCCAGAGGAACTTTCAAGCAAAAGGTGTATTATCCAAATTGAGCGAAGACAAAACACAAAACTCTCATATATCAATTAATGAAGAAAAGATTGAGGGGTGATTAAAAACCCACCATTGAAAAGGCACTGAGACCAAGTGATTTCAGAATTCATTCCTAGCCAGTGAAGTGTGCTGCAGAATATCATCAGAAATAGTTTAGAGAACTGAAAGTGATGTTCTCCAGAGAATGGAAATTAGGTGTTGGTAAGATTGAAACAGGAGACTGCTGCTTTACATAAAAAAATTTGTATTTCTATATAACAACTTAAATCACATACACATATTATATTGACTAAAACTAAGAATTAAACAGTGTGAAGGGGAGGTGCAGAAGTAGAAATATCTTTCAAGGGAGAGAAAGAAAAATGTCTCTCTGGAAAGAAGAATGTCTATGAAAGTTTTTAAAAATATACATCTGTCGGGGCCAGTGGGTGACATAGTGGTTAAGGCGCTGGACTCCTGCATCGCTGACCGATTCAAGTCCTGGACCTGGAAGCTTGAAAATCACACCGGACATGTGTGCGAAAAGCCCCAAAATCCCAAAGGACAATGGAGAAGGGATTGCAGTGTAGGAATTCCCCCCGGGGGGTAATTTTTCACTTTCCCTCTCACTATCTCTGTCTGTCTCTTTTGCAAGTAGATGTGCCCTAAGAGAGAGATGAGATGATTAAATAGAGAAGGAAATAGAAAAAGTTGTGTTAATGATACAGCGGGGAAAAAGAATAATTTCCCAGCCAGTGACAACAGATAAAATGTATAACACAAGTGTAGGGAGTGATTGTAATAGGAGGGTGTCTTAGTTCATTCAGGCTGCTATAACAAATACCATAGACTAGATGGTTTATAAACAACAGAAAGTTATTTTTCCCCATTTTGGAGACTGGAACCTGGGACCAGAGTGCTGGAATGGTGAAGTATGGTGAGGGCTCTTTTCTAGGTTATAGACTGTAGACTTGCTGTTTCACAACAAAGCTGAAAGAGGAGTCACTAGCTCTCTAGCTGCTCCTTCTGATGACGCTAATCTGTTGATGAGATCCAAATTTGACTTAATTACCTTCCAAAATCCTCACTTCCTAATACTAGCACACTGGGATTAAGGTTTCAACAAGTGGATTTTGGAGGAAAATAAACATTTGGTCCACTGCAACAGGACCCCTGACTTTACTTGAAAGGAAGAGAAAGAAAATGGATTCTGTTGCAGAGAGGTTTGTGAATTTGCTAGTAGGAAAAGGTGAAGGAGTTACTAGCTGATGGTATCTGTTGTCTAACTGTTTGTTTTTGTCTTCAAAGATTTTATTTGTTCATTTATTGAGAGAGGGAGAGACAGAGACAGAATAGGAACCCTTAACGGGGTCACACTGGGGACAATTTGGAAAGAGGAAAGGAAAGCAGGAAT